TAGATCAATGGAACACAACAGAGACCAGAAATAGACTGACACAAATATAGCCAACTGTTCTTTTATGAAGGAGGAGAGAGAATTCAGTGGAAAGAGGATAGTCTTTTCAACAGGTGGTACTGGAACAGATACCCCCACAGAAAAAATGAGTCTAGACACTGACCCTATGCTTTTCACAAAAATTAACTCAAAATGGATCACAGATCTAAATGTAAAAATGCAAAACTATAATATTTCTAGAAGATAACATAGGAGGGAATTTGGGTGATCTTGGGTTTGGCGATGATTTTTAGATATAATACCAAAAACACAATGAAAGAACAAAATTGATAAGTTGGTCTTTATTAAAATAAAAACCTTCTGGGGCTCTCAAGATGGTGGTGGGTGCCTCGAGTGGCTCAATTCAGCAGTAGTAATGGGACGGCACTCACTGAGGGCTGGCCACTCCTAATGGCTTGAAAAAACAGAACAAAACAAAACAAAAACACAAAACCTTCTCTTCTCAAAAAGACACTGTTAAGAGAATAGAGAGACTAGCCACAAACTGAAAGAAAATATCTGTAAAACACATTCTCTCCGCGATAAAGGACTTGTATCCAAAATATACAAAGAGACTTAAATCTCAACAATAAAAAAAATGAACACCCCAACTAAAAAACAGGCAGATCTGAACAGACATTTCACCAAAGATATACAAATGGTAAATAAGTACATAAAAAGATGCTCAACATCATACGTCATCAGGGAAATTGCAAATTAAAACAATGAGATACCACTACGTATCTATTAGGATGGCTAAAATCAAGAAAACTGACAACACCAAATTCTGACAAGGATGGACAACCACAGGAACTCTTATTCACTGCTCATGGGGATAAAAATGGCAAAGACACTGGAAGCAGTTTGTTGGTTACCTACAAAGTTAAACGCAGTCTCACGTACAATCCAGCAACTGCACTCCTTGATATTGTCCCAAACGAGCTGAAACCTTATGTCCACCCAAAAACCTGCACACAGTCTACAGCAGCTTTATTCATCATTGCCAAAACATGGAAGCCACAAAGATGGTCTTTCAGTAGGTGAATGCATAAGTAAACCGTGGTACATCCAGATAATGAAATATTATTCAGCACTGAAAAGAAATGAGATATTGAGCCATGAAAAGACAGGAAGGAATCTAAAATGCATTTTGCTTAGTGAAGGAAGCCAATCTGAAAAGGTCACATATAGTATGATTCCAAATATATGACATTTTGGAAAAGGTAAAACTACAGAGGCAATAAAAAATCCCTGTTACCAGGGGTTTGGGTGATGAGAAGGAAAGAGAGATGAGTGGACGGTGCAGGGAAACTTTTCTGTGTGACACTGCAAAGGTGGATGGATATCGGACATCATGTATCCGTAAACACACAACACAAAACATAGTCTCAATACATTGCTCATTCACTAGAGAAAGAACCAGAGCAGTAACATGTGCAAGAGAACCCGCTTGTTGGTTAATGCAGACGTGCACACCCACCTTTCCAGGTCCCTGCCAGTCTCCCAGGTTCCACCCCTGCTCACCCGCACGTGGCCCTGTGTGAAACACACCTGCTCAGATGGTGAGGGTACAGGGAAGGACGAGCGCAGGTTACTGGCTGCTGGGCTGCTCACTCCGCCACCCTGTCGTCACGAGAACACGTCTGATCCAGCCGTTTTAGGTCACTACGCGGAGTGACTTCTACCCATTGCAAAGTTATAATCTTTGATTCCAATTTGTCAACTGTATTAACTTTCTACTGCTGCCTCATAAATTAAGGACGTAACACAAATTTATCTCACAGTGCCGGGTCTGGGTCTAGGTTAGCGGGGTTCTCTGCTCAGTGTCACTAGGCTGAAATTGAGGTGTTGGCTGGGGCACAATCTCATCTATGGCTCAGGGTCTGCTTCCAGGTTCACTGGTATTGGCAGTGTTCAGGTCCTTGTGACTGAAGGCCTGAGGCCCTCGGCTCCCAGACGCCGCACACCATTTCCCACCACCCACCTTCACAGGATGGCAGCTCGTGTCTTCAAGGTAAACAGGAGAATATCTCAGCGGCCTTGAATCTCTCTGACTTCTGTAAGAGCCCAGTCCTTTCCAAAGCCTGATCTGTTTACATCAGGCCCACTCTAGATAATTCCTCTTGATTAGCTCAAAATCAATTGATCTGAGACTTTCATTGTTTCTGCAAAATTCTAAACCTGTCATACAACAGCCTGCCATGCGGGGGAGCTCCACCAACTCACAGTCCCGCGGGCGCTGGAGGCCAGGGGGCTACACAGGTGTACGCCAGGGGGCAGGGATCTCAGGGGCCATCTCAGAATTCCGTCTGCGTCTACCTGATGAAACTAATGGATGTCCGATTACTTCTCCTGAGTCAAGTTACTCACCATGCTACTCTTCTCTCAAAAGAGCCTTCAACGTTCTGTGAAACCCAGAGATGAACCTAAATAAATCAGCTGGATATTCAGGGCCTTTCTCAACCAGGTGCCAGGCAACACGTCAGCCCTCTGCTATAACAACGCCTGCCGAGAGCGCTGTTAGTCACACCCTGCCGGCCCTGCTCCTTGTGTTCTCCGTACCTGCACTCCTGGTCATACTCTTCCTTCAGACCCAATTTACCCCACTCCTTCCTCCTGCTTATTCAAAGCCTGTACAGCCTTCAAGATGCTGCATCGTCACCTGTATAAAACCTTTCCTGACCCTTTGCCACCACTCAGCGGCACCAGACATAATATTGGGCAGGCCTTGCTTTATTGAGCTTTGCAGATACTACGTTTTTTTTACAAATTGAAGGTTTGTGGTAACCCTGCATTTTCAAATAATGGTTAGCATTTTTTAGCAATAGGATATTTTTAAATTAAGGTATGTCTGTTTTTTAGACATAGGGCTACTGTACACTTAACAGCCGACAGCATAGTGTAAAACGCAGCTTTTACGCACACCGGGAAACCAAAATACCAGTGTGACTTGCTTTCCTGCAATACTCGTTTTATCGTGGGGCCCTGGAACTGATCTAGAACATCTCGAGGTGTGCCTGAAGCGACCATCATCGCTGCCATCAAATTGGAGCTTCCAGTTTCCTGGTCACATCTTTCCGTGTGTCTTCCTTTGTCCCACCTCTTCACCTCTGTTAACTAAAATTCATTTGAGGAACTTTTCTCCAGGCCCCCTCCAGATCCTCAAGTAAACTGAGATAGGGACCTTTGAGGTCACAGTGGTACTTGGTAAGTAGGATGCCACAGCCTCAGGTTAAGAATGACCCGTCAGAGCAAAGGAGAAGGGCCCATGCTGAGGAGGAAATAAGAGGACGCTGGCAGGTCAACCAGCATCACTCAGAACCACCTTCCACCACCTCGTGGGGAGGACCTTCACCACACAAAGCCCACAGGCTCAAGCTGGGTGACACAGACACAGAAAACAACCACTGCTGACTGACCTTTCATTCTGAGGTATTTTATTAAGATAAACACTCAAAAATTCCCCAAGTACCTCCACTTTCCAACAAATCTGGAAAACCAGATCCCAAAATTTCAAGGAGCTCGGTTTTAAGTCAGAGGAAAACGTCATTCATACAGGACAACAGGAAATAGAACATTTGTAATTCTACACACATACTCAACTTGTTTCATGGCAGACAGAGACTGAGCCCTGGGAGGTTCACTAGTCCTCCAGTTAGCCTACCGAAGGACTAACTTGCCCAGTGAGCTGCTGTAAAAAGCAGCCTGCAAATACCAGCCTACAGTAGAAGCGCTCTCTCTCTAGTAATAAAGTGTCTGATGATGTCCGTAGCACCCACACCTCTGTGATGAGACAGACGTGCTGTTACTAGGAAAAGGCACTTGGTTTGCCTCTGCAATGAAGCCAGCCTCCCAAGGGCAGGAGCCATGCTGGTTCTTCCGTCCACAGCGCAAGCACTTTGTACCTGGATGCTCTTAGTCAGCATTTCTTAAACATCAGTTTGCAGTCAGTCAGACTATGAATCAAACTTCTCACCGTAAGGAGATAATGAGCGGTTAAGAGGCAACATATGAACAGGGACAGTGGTGCTTTGAAGAGAACACACCCCCACGCAAGGACGCCCACCACCTTCTCACTGCTGCTGGGGCAGCTGGGAAGAAAGGGTAAAGGGCGACAGCCTCACGGTGCACCGACATCCCGGGGGGCCAGCCCCAGGCCTGTGTGTCGCTCCTGTGCCCCTGGCCTTGGCTTCCTCATTGTGAAAGGCAAGCCCCACCTCAGGCTGTTGACTTGGGTTCCTTCCACCCTTAAGAGAACTGACGCCATTAGTGTTACTTTTATTGTAGGATTGGTTCTCAACAGTTTCTACATCTTCTGTAATTCCAAGTATCTCCAATTACTAGTAAAAACCATCATATATGAGCTTTTATGAGTTGGATATTATAAGTACTCAAGATATATAATACTAATGTTCCTATTTAACCTTAAAAATTCCAATGTCCTCATTTTTACATTCAGAAAAGGAAAACTGGCTTAGAAAACCTTATTAACTCATATTTAATCATATGACAAAAATAACACTATGGCAAGGGATATAAGGATTACGCAAATCAATTAGACACAAAGTTCTTAGTCTCTAAAGCTGACTTCCTAGCAAGTTTAAGTGTTTGTCGCTTGTGTTAGAACAACTCCAAAATGATGTACTTTCTCAAAGGATGGCAGGTATGGGGTGGGAGAATGACTTATGAATTAACCATGGATTGTTTAGATACAATTATTAACTGCCAAGGACCATGATTTCAATGATATTCAGACTCTCAAAGCTATTTCATTAAAAAAAAAAAGGAAAAAAAAAGAAAAGAAAGAAAATTACCCCTTATCTAGAAGACTATTTGTGAGACTTACGGAGCTTAAACCTTCATGGCTGAGTGTTCCATAATATATTCCCCATGAAATGGTCTCTGAAAATGCCTATAATTAAAAACAGAACAGTAAAAAAAACCAAAACCGAGCGGCTTACTCTCTTGTTGGTGAGTTAGCGGAAGATTCCTTTTTTGAATCAGGAGAGCTCAGGGTTTGCAAAATACAATGATGTTTCCCTGTGAGTGGGGCATCTCCTTCTCGCCCAGAGAGGATTAAATTTAAGGCCTCGGTTCCGTCTTCTCCCTCCACGTTGTCACCTGGATTTGGCTGTGGTTCTGGGCTCTTTAAAATCAGATCATCTTCACTTACAGACACTGTGAGGTCACTACTGCTGATCGAACTTTCCTCTGCCTCCTCTTCCTGCATTTTCCTGAAAGGCTTCTGTGACTCTGGGTCCCCACGAGGAAGATGATCTGTCACAGGGGATATAAACAGATTACTGATCATGAACTTCAGGGAGAAGTGGGTAAGATGTTCTACCTCACAGAGAAGAATTCCTCATCCATGAGAAATGTGCAGAAACAATCCACAGCTATTTGCAGTATTTTAAAACTTATGAAAAATTTTTAAAAAATCACAGTGGGTTTAAAAAATCAGAGAACTTACTTGCAAAAGTATTTCCACATGTGTATTTAAGAACTCATCAGAATGGAATTTGTTGGCAAAGTAACTTTGTTTTTCGACAAAGATAAAATTAGACAGTATTTGTATTCTTACCTAAGACCACCACCGCCCAGAGAAACTAAATACCCACAAAAATCAGCAGACAATCGCAGCCTCTCGCCCCACCTGAGGAAGCTGCCCGGGCAGACGGCCTCTCTGGAGGACACTTGTTTTCAGATGTGCCATATTCTGAGGCTGATGCCGGAGGGACTGGCAGTCCGGCTCTGTCTTCCTCGACTTCATTATGTTCCCATGTCAGAATTGCTCCCTCGGATCCCTCGGATCTGCTGGAACTGTCACCCTTTAAGTCACTGGCTCTGTTCTCTGGACTTAATCTCCCCCGTAACGGGGGATGGAGTTCAACAGACTTCTGGCCTTCAGATAAATTACTCCTGCCCTGACGCGTGCTGCCTTCCGTCTCCAAGCAATGAGTCTGTTCCTCCTCGGACCATGCGCCAGCTGTGACTGGCGTTTTCTCACCCATCTGAAGACATGTCTTTCCATCTGTTTTGTCAGACTTACTTAAGCACCGCGTGTCACTATTAGTTTGTACTACACAGCTGCCTGTCACATTTCTGCTCTGGGCTGTCTGCCGGTGTGAACGTGGGTCAGGGATTGAAAAGTTCTTTGTGGGCTGGGGGGTTTTCTGCTCCATACTGAAATCTCCCATGCTCGAGACGGCTGACAGGTGGTGGCCCATAAAGGTTGTTGCTGGCTGATACAATCCTCTTGACACGGCTGTCTGGCTGTTAATTTCAGCCGGCATTACAACCTGCAGCACCAAAAAAGAGATGCAAGTTAAACATACTGTGTATGAACAACTGGGTTATTTAAGTTGTTTTCAGAAATGAAATGAGGTAAAGGCAGCCTGACCTATGAAATCAACACCTCCCACATTTTACAAAGCTCATGGCTTCCTGCAAAATGAATGACCAAAACAGCATAGTCCACACTGTTTACCTGTGATAACGATGTTGGCTCACAAGGCAAACATTGTCTAGGAACTGTGGAATCTGTATTTTTCAAAAAGAGATACGTACATTACATTGCAAAGCACGTGCATGTACTTAATGCCACTGGACTGTGCACTTCAGCTTGGTTTAAATGGTAAATTTTATGTTCAGTATATTTGAGCACAACTGAAAAAGTAAGTTGTGAGTTCTAACCACTTTCCACAGAGAAGCTTGGGTTGATGGAGCTAGGGAGGTACTTGACACCAAGAAAAGGGGTAGCATGTAAAGGACTACTGGGGCTTTCAAAACTCTATTTCTAGTATTGTGTGTAATAAAAAAAAACTTCTAATAACCACATATTTATGATTGAATTAAAATATACTGCATGTGTGCAAAATAACCATAACTTCCTATCAAACTGCAAATAACAACTGCAATTTTTCCTGAACTACTTGAAGAAATTTTAAAGACATTTAAAGCAATTTAAATTTACTGGCATGTCTACGGAGAGAATGAGCACTGTCCCTTCCTTAGAAAGAGGTGGGGCGGAGTGCGGAGAGGAACAGAGCAGTCGGTTCAGTGGCCCAATCCGGGGCACACAATGGGAAGCAGACTGGGAAGTAACAGTCCTGCAGCCTTAGAGAAGTTAACTGCTTTTCCTCCAAAGGGATCAAAGCTTCTCCAAATACATAACACATTTAATCCACAGAGGACGGGAGAAGAGATGGAGAGATGCATTTGCACACCTCCTCTGCAGATGGAAAAACTGAGGCCAGTGTTTTCAGAGAGAACATGCCATTCACATGGTTGAGACAGACGCCAGGACTCACTTCTCTTCAAACATACTCTCTCTCATATTTCCAAAGATAAAACAAACAACGTTGAAGCTAAAACAACTGAAAAGGTATGTCAGAGAAAGAGTAGAACAAGGACCTCTCAACGTCCTCTGCTCTGTAAAAGAAACAGTAACACTGGAAAACATCTTGAGAATACCTTTTCAAACTCTGGAAATTAACCAAAAGCTTGCAGCAATCTGCGGAGCATTGATTCAAGAAAAACATCTGAATAGTGGTAAGAACAGTGCACCTCACATGTTTTAACTTGCCCTATTCCCACTTACCCCTCCTCAGATCTAGAGTAACCTTGGAAATCAGCAGCCTTATAGACACTGAAAGGGAGCAAAGAAGGATCGGAACCCCTTCAAAGCCCACTGCCAGAGAGCTGTCGTGATTTGACCTGTCTAGTGAGTTTCCGCAAGACCACCCTCACAAGACTGTGTTTATCTAACCTGACTTAGAGCGGACATCATGCAGACAGCCTTTCCCCTAGGGGCAGTTATTAAAAATAATCAGAAGCAGTTGTTTAATATTGAGGCTGCCTAAGGCAGTGGGTAACAGTTGGGCAAACAACAGGGTAACTGAAATAACGTAAAAGGAAAAGCTGGTGAACGAGATGTCCACAGGGGGCTTTGGAAAGCTCCAACATACTACTGGAAATCTAGACTACGGGCAGCTCAGGAGAAGTCCTGAGAAGGGCCTAGGCTCTCACCTCAGGCTTACCCTGAAGCTTGCACTGGCACTCATGTGATGGCTAAGGTGGAGCTGTAAACTGCCCGGATGAGTGTTGAAGGTGTGCCCCAAAATACACCCAAAGCCCCTTGGCAAGGACTGTGAGACTTACTGGTTTCAGGCATTTAAAGAAAGCTCTGTCTAATCATTGGCTGGTATCTAAGCTAACTGAACAGAACCTCAGTGACCACATATCACAAAGAATACAGACTTTACATAATTAATTCAGAAAGTCACTAAACAAACACACAAAAACAGTAAACTCTGGGCGGGGGTAGAAAATGATGTTCAGAGTGGCCACATTTTTATTATTTAAAATGTCCAAATGTTAACAGAAAGTGACGAGTCATTAAAAGAAACAAGAGGGCACGATCCATACAGAGTGGGGGAAAGGCAGTCAAGAGAGACCATCCCTGAGGACGGGCAGACGTTGAACTTACTAGACAAAGGCTTTAAGTCAGCTAGTTTAGATACGTTCAAAGAACTAAAGGAAATCATGTCTAAAGAACTAAGGGAAAGTATGAGAAATATATCCAAACAGAGATGATCAATAAAGAGATAGAAATTATTTAAAAAACAGAAACAAATAGAAATTCTCCAGTTGAAAAGTACAATCAGCAGAATGAAAATTCAGTAGAGGGGCTTGGCAGAGAAGAAAGAATCAGGCAGAGAAGAAAGAATCAACATACCTGAATATAGGTCAATTCAGAGTCTCCAGATTGAGGAAAAGAAAGAAAAAGAGTGGAGGAAAGTGAACAGAACCTCAGAGACTGGTGGGACATCATCAAGCTCCCAAACTTGATGAGAAACATTAATTTACACATCCAAGCAGCTCAACAAGCCCAAGTGTAACAAACTCAGAGAGCTTCACCTAGATGTACCATCATCAAGCTGCTGGAAGTCAGAAAAAGAGAATCTTGAAAGCAAACATAGAGAAGGGATGCCTCACATAAAACGGATCCTCAGTAAGCGGTGACTTATCATTGGAAACCATGGAGGCCAGGGAGCAGTAGGATAACATAATCAAAATGCTGAAAGAAAAAGACTGGCAATCAAGAATTCTATATCCATCAAGACTTTCCTTCAAAAATGAAGATTTAAAGAAAACAAGAAAACAAACAAACAAAAAAAACAAACAATGAAGGAGAAACACAACACTGTAATTCAAATACACTTCAATTAAAAAAAAAAGTTAATCCAGTTTGGTGTAGCCACTGTGGAAAACAGTATGGAGATTCCTCAAAAGACTAGGGATAGACTTACCATATGACCCAGCAATCCCACTCCTGGGCATATATCCAGCAGGAACCCTAATTCAAAAAGACACCTGCACCCCAATGTTCATAGCAGCACTATTTACAATAGCCAAAACATGGAAACAACCTAAATGTCCATCAACAGATTACTGCATAAAGAAGCTGTGGTATATTTATACAATGGAATACTATTCAGCCACAAAAATGACAACATAATGCCATTTGCAGCAACATGAATGTCCCTGGAAAATACCATTCTAAGTGAAATTAGCCGGAAAGAGAAAGAAAAATACCACATGATATCACTCATAAGTGGAATAAAAAAAGAAAGAAGACAAATTAACTTAAATATAAAACAGAAACAGACTCAGAGACATAGAATACAAACTTGTGGTTGCCAGGGGGGAGGGGGGTGGGTAGGAATAGACTGGGAGTTCGAGATTTATAAGATACTGACAGGTATATATAGAATAGATAAACAAGTTTACACTATATAGCACAGGGAAATATATACAAGACCTTGTGGTAGCTCACAGTGAAAAAGAATGTGAAAATGAATATATGTATATTCATGAATGACTGAAAAATTTTGCTCTACACCGGAAATTGACACAACATTGTAAACTGACTCTAACTCAATTAAAAAAAAAAGTTAAAAAGAATGAAGGAGAAATAAAATGTTCCTCACTAAACAAAAACAATTTGTCACTCTTGTACCTTTCCTATAAGAAATACGACAAGAAGTCCTTTAGGCTGAAATGAAAAGACATTACACAGTAATTCAAGTCCACATTAAGAAATAAATAGCACTAGTAAGGGTAACTACATTGTATTTGTGCTATAAATACTTTTTTTGTGTGTAACTCTTTTTTCTCCTATATGATTCAAGAGACAACTTCATCAAGCAATAATTGTAAATCTATGTTGTCGAGCAGCATATAAGATATAAAAACACAGTTTGTATTACAATAATATCATAAAGGAGCAGAAAAGGAATGGAGCTATATAGGATCGAGGTTTTGGCATGCTACTGAAATTAAGTTGCTATTAAATTGTTAAACTTGATTTAAACTGTTAAAAACAGTTTGAGATACAATTCACCAGTCATAAATTTCATACTTTTAAAGTATACAATTCAAGATTTTTAAAGTATATTTACAGAGTCGTGCAGTCATCAGTCAACTTTTGAACATTTTCATCACCCCAAACAGAAACCCCATTCTCTTTAGCAATCACTCCCCATCCTCCTTGATCCTCCCTCAGTCCTACGCAACCATTTACCTACCTGCTTGTCTCTAATATTTACCTATTCTGGACATTTCATATAAACTGAATTACACAATATTTTTTGACTAACTTCTTTAATTTGACACAATCAGGGTTTACACATACTGTAGCAGGTGTAAGTATTTCATTCTGTTTAATGACTGGTAACATTCCATTGCAATGGATATATCACATTTTGTTTATCCATTTGTCAGATGATGAACATCTAAATTGTTTGCACTTTTTAGCTATTAAGAAAACTGCTGCTATGAACATCTGTGTACAAGATTTTGTATGGATACAGGTCTTCACCTTTCTGGCATGTGGAGTTGCTGGGTAATATGGTAAGCATGTCTTAAGATTGTGAGGAACTGTGAACTGTCTTCCAAAGCGGCTGCATCATTTTACATTCCCACCAGCAATTATTTAAACTTTCAAAACCAAAAAAAAAAAAAGTACAAGAAACTTGCAAAAATTAACTGCCGTGCACTACAAGGCAATGCTACATGTGAAGTGGCTCAACACTTGCAAAGTAAAATACTGGCTCCAGTAAAATACCAGCAGGGCTTCCACAGGTGGGCAGCCTTCCCACCTGCTGAGATCAGGCATCAAGACAGGTGTTTCTTTTCTTTTTTCAAGATAGTCTGTCATTTTGTTTGCTTTGCAATAGGAAACGGGGTGGTCTTGCTTTATTATGTGTCTTCTCAAAGCAGTTTTCACATTATTGTT